ACCTGGACCCCACCAGCCCCACAGCCTACTGCAGTCTGGGCAGGCAGCTTGGAAATGTGCGTGTGTGAAAAACTGACAGAACACTGAAGGGGACTGAAAGCTCCCTGAGAAGGACAATGGGTGGAGAAGGCAATATGGCGCCCGCCATCTCAGCTCAGTCTGTACTGATGGGAAGTGACACAAGGGCACATAGTCCGGTGTGCTTTTGTTTTGAAAGAAGCTCTCAGCTTACCTGGTGGGCAGCAGCTTTGTGGTTCATGGGGGCGTAGAGAAAGCTCTCCAGCAGCTCTGGAAGCCTGCTGGCCTTGCAGAGGCCTTGAGGGAAGGAGAAAGAAAAACCCCCACTACCCTTTTACTGGACCTCTAAGATTCTCAGAGGCTTGGATCTCTGTCAATACTTTTGGCTCCTTGCACATTCTTCTTTGTCAATCTTCTGGTGGCTTTCCTGGTACTTTTACTCATAATTACACCTGAGCTATGTTTCTTTGTGTTGTTTTTTTTGTTTTTTTTTAATCTAAAACTTTTCCTTCTTCCGAGTTCAATCTGGTGACCCAATTGTCCTCTAGTCAGCCATTTTCCTGCAGGTCGAGCCCTCTAATTTTCGTTCTTGCACAGTGCGTTGTGCAAGGCAGTGAATCCTACATAGGCTTTAGTTTTTCTCTTACGTAAAATTAAGGGGTTTGTCTGTTGATTGGATGTTAAAGCTTGTTGTTGATTGGATGTTAAAGCTTGTTGTTGATTGGATGTTAAAGCCTGTTGCTGACTGGATGTTAAAGCTTATAGTTGATTGGATGTTTTTGGAGTCCTACCAAGGGTATAAAAGCAAGAGGAGAACAAGGAAGGGGGGGGGTCAGGAGATCGGGAGATGGGAAGAGAGCTGTAACACTAGGTGTTCTGAGCCTGCTGTGGAGGAATAAACCCTGTTATCTGACTCTTCGTGTGCCGCTCGGTTCTTTCCCTGGTCAAGAGCTGTAGCACTAGCTGTACACATTGCCGCAACAAGAACAAGAAAAGAGTCACGGAGTGGTATGTGTAAAGAACAACACAGGCTGAGCTACCACAGAAGAGGGCGTAATAAAAAGAGTCATAACAATAAACAAAGGTAATTATGAACTGTCAACCCCCTGTAATCATTTTCAATGTATGTTAGATCAGTTCTTCCCAAATGTCATTTACATTTCATCTTTTTAATTCTTGTTATAATCGTATGCCAACATTACTATTATTTATTCACTTAATATTTTTTTTAATTCATATATATTAGCCTTCTCTAAGGAAGTTTATCTATTGAATCAGTGGTTCTATTAGTTATTTTTTAATACTTATTAAAATAAATACATAACTATTAAAAGTATAAAAATGTGTGCCACCTGGAATCATCTTAAACACAGCCAGGAACATGCCACCCTCACTTGGGTTAAATGATTGATGTGAGAGGCCTTTTCCCAGCATCCATGTGAGTGAGCCATCTTGGATGGGACGCCTTCAGCCACGGTCAAGTCTTCAGATGACTGCGCCGCTTAGCCAACATCTTGAATGCACAGCCCGAAAGATACTGAGACAAACCCAGGTGAGCCACTCCCAAATTCCTGACCACAAAAACTCTGAGATAATATTTTGATTTTTCTTAAGCTACTACATTTTGGAATAATTTGTAGTGCAGCAGTGAATTACTGCAATATTAAAGAAAGTGTTTTAATAGAAAGCATATAGCCCATTGGTACACTCTAACCCAGGCCACCAAGGAACTGTGCATGTTCCAAGGGAGGGCATGATGGAGCCTGGGTCGTCACTGCAGCACACGAAGGGAACCAACAGAAACTTCACCAGGTTTTCTCACCAGTTTGGCAGCTCGTTTGGAAGCCCCAGGGTTGACACACCAAGGGAGATGCATCTGCAAACACATCAAATTCACCAGAAGCATTTTTTTTTTTTTTTTTTGCAGTCAGAAGTCCAAGGCAATAGTTTGGAATGGTCTCATTTGGACAGCCAGAGCTTCATCTCCACTAGCTATATAGTCCTGGTGATTTTTTGAATAATAAAAGTTGTTAGAATAATTTTCCACCTTAGCAACATCATTCATGAATGGATAGTGTTACTCTTGTGCTCCTCTGTTAAAAATAGGCTATTTTCTTGCTTTTAAAAAGCCCGTTGTATATTGTGGGCATGGATTTGGAACACTGTGCAACCTGGTTAATTCTGTAGCGCTTTGTATCGTGCCTATTTGTAGTAACGCCTCTGAGGAAACCTGCCCGAGGATGTTGTGCAAAACGATACATCGTGGCGGGTTGGAGGAAGGGATTGCAACTCTCTTTTTCTCGCTCCTGTCTTAATATGTAACTCTCCTGTCGGCTGTCTTGCCTTTGTCTATGTTGCCCATGTGAATATTGTCCCTGCAGTCCTGATTTGAGATATTTCCTTTACTTTTTTTTTTTTTTTTTTTTTGAGACAGAGTCTCACTCTGTTGCCAGGTCTAGAGTGCCATGGCATCAGCAACCTCAAACTCCTGGGCTCAAGGGCTCCTCTGCTCAGCCTCCGAGTATAGCATGCGCCACATGCCCGGCTAATTTTTTCTATATTTTTAGTTGGCAAATTAATTTATTTCTATTTTTAGTAGAGATGGGTCTCCCTCTTGTTCAGGCTGGTTTCGAACTCCTGCTTTGAGCGATACTCTGCCTCGGCCTCCAGAGTGCTAGGATTACAGGCGTGAGCCACTGCGCCCGGCCTTCTACTGTGTTTCAGAGGAAAGCGAGTATGTCTAGTCCTGGTCAGTGTCATCTCCATCCCCTGGCCTCATTTTTTTGGTTGCCCCTTTTGGGGGAACTTTTTGCCACCACCCCTTTCCTTTATTCTCCAAAGTACCATTACCCCCAAGGCCAGCCACCTTGTTGTGCGTGGGATGATGGGAAAATATTCACCTCAGCTTAGGTGTTAGAGCCAGAATCCGCTGGACGCGGGACAGAGAGACAGAGTCACCGAGGCTGTAATTATCAGAAGGAGTTTTATTGTCTAGCTAGGGTCCAAGCCAAGAGCACCAGCGCTGTGGCTTCTTGTTCGAGCAGGGACCGGCACGGTGTGGGAGTGAGCTTTTTATACCTAAGCTGTTCACGCGCTGATCATGCATCTGCCCTCTACAGTGATTGGTGAGCCCCTGCTGATCATGCATCTGCCCTCTACAGTGATTGGTGAGCCCCTGCTGATCATGCATCTGCCCTCTACAGTGATTGGTGAGCCCCCACTGATCATGCATCTGCCCTCTACAGTGATTGGTGGGCCCCCTATCCGCCATCTTACCCCAGCCTCTTACTTCATCCTGCACCTGATTGGCTCTAACCTGTTCCGGGTCCTAGCCGTGAGGCTCCGGTCTCAGCGTTTTTCCTCTGCATCCCATAATGCACCCATAATGCCCTGCGGTTAGCTGTGGTCAGCAAGCAAGCAGTAAACAGAAGCTAAAAGACGGCCGTTAGCCTAATAGCCCAGTATCTTACATAGGAACGACTCATTGTCATCATTTAGGTTTCACCTTAAATGTCACCTTCTGAGACAGGCCTTCCAGAACCATCTGTCCAAAGTGGATCCTGCCTCGTCATTCTCCACCATATGCCTTTCCTACTGTTCACTGTAACTGGTAACTACATTTATTTACTGACCCTAGATGCATATTTTTCCCCATTTATTATGATTGCTATATAATAATCTATAGTATGGATTTACCACATTTTCCTCACTCCTTCTCCCAATGAGGGGCGGCTCCAACTCCTTGCCATCACAGAAAACCCTAAAATGTGTCCTTTTTTGGACCTGGTAGGGAAATCCACTGGTATATAGACCCTGGAACAGCATTGATGGGCCACTGGGTTTGTGGTTTTTATAGAGCTGAATTGACCAAGTCGGGCTCAATTGCTCCAAAAAGAGCTGCAGTGGTTGACACTCCCACCAAGCAATACATGGAAGGCCCTGTATTCTCACATTCCTTCTTATTCTTGGCAATACCCAGCTTCCTAATTTCTTCCAGCTTAAATAGTATAAAGTAACATGTGATTGTTTTTATTTGAAGTTCTCTCATGATTTTGAGAAGCTCATCATAAGTTTGTTAGCCTTTGGAGTTTCCTTTTCTGTAAATTTCCTGTTCATATTATGCACCCACTTGCAATATTTTTCTTCTTGATTTACAGGAATTTCTTGAATATTCTAAAAGATACTAATCTCCCTTCTTCTCCTTCTTCTTGTTTTTGACATTACCAATATCTTCTCACATTCTGTCAGCCTTCTATTAAATGTGTCCACGGTGGCATGCATTGACAAAAATTCAACCTTAGTGAAATAAAATTCATCATTGTTTAAAACCTTAAAGTTTGTGCTTTCAAAGATTTATTTGTGATGTATACCTTCTACCTGTTGGCCTCCTTTCTCTATACTGTGCAGTCAGGGAAGAGGGCTGCCAACAGCTCCACGATTACAATGTCCCACTTTTGCAACTGAGCCATCAGAAGTCCCGTGTTGAGTCCCATTTTTCTAGCTTGGTCCCATGCCCACCCTGGGGAGCAAGCAGGAATAACCCCTGAGGTCAGCAGCAGGGTGGGGTCAACCCCACCCAAAACACATGGATGAAGACTTAGGAATGGAATGGTTTCTCAGAGGAATATCAAGGCATTCTTTTCAAAAGTAGGAAAATGAAAACCAGGCAAGAAAAAGGAATAGGTGTTCATTATGTTAAATAAAAGCTTATTGCCTTTTATACTGCTCATCAGGTAGATTCGTATTGTCAGATGCTCCAGATACCTTTCCTGGTTCCTGTCCCCAGTCTTAATTAAACTTTTCTTACACATTCCAGAGCACCCAGCACCCATCTGATAGCACTCAGGGATTTAATCCTTCAAATGGGTAATCCAGTCAGGAAGGGACCAAAGAGATCACCCAACCAGTGGTTCCCAAAGTAAACTGAGCATTAGAAGCACTAAGTAAGCTTTGAAAATACAGGCTCCCAAGTCTTGCTCCAAACCTGACCAGTTGCCAGTCCACAGATGGAGAGTCCCAGTGAAAATCAACATCCTCTCGTTTTATAGATGAGAAACCTTGAGCCCGAAGGACTGTCTCCAAGAAAACATAATGCTCTTGGGGCTTCTCTTCTATGCAGCTGTTGTTGCTGTATGTGTGTATTTTCTTGCTGCCAGACATCAAGCTCTCTTCAGACCTTTTGGAAAGGAAGCCGGTAAATACAAATATAACTCTCTCAGGGTTTTTCATTGAACAGAAAAGCTCAGGCTCTCATTTCTGTGCTTTATCTTACCCAGAAATCCCGGCAGGCCTGCAACCATGGAAACACAAATCCTACGGTCCACATGAACTCCAGCGACAGCTGCCCCGGACATCTAGAGAGCAGCCCCCCGATGCGTGGTGAAGTTGTAGATTGCTTCTGAGTGCTTTCTCCTCGGTGTTGCAGGTGTTCAGGAGCCTGGTCTCAGGAGCCAGCCACTCCTGATTCAAATCACATGGGAAAAGGTGAGGTCCCCAAGTGGAAAGGGCCATGTGCTACTTCCAGGAAGATAGACCTAGGACAGAAAAGGACAGAGCTCTAAGCATAGCTGAGGAAGAGCAGGATGTTCCCAACATACCTGGCTGGGTCCTGCAATCAGACACAACTCCAAAGGAGCCCTGGGCCAGGAGCAAGAGCCACTCATCAGCCACCTGTAGTACCAGGGACTGTGATCAGGCAGGGCTGAGGGTGTGGAAGCACAGAAGAAAGAGGAGAATGGTGGCCGATTAAGCCTGTCCCATGATCAGGGGTACTACACTACCCTCCCTGGACGTTAGATACCACCCTTGAAGGGAGGAATGCACCCTGAATTGTTTGATATTAAGTTTCTGTCCCCTGATGGGAAGAGGCTTATAATAGGAATTAAGTTATAGAAAAATAATTAAATTTCTTCCAGATCCAGGTTGTGTACTGCGACTCATACCTGCTATACTCTAGTGGCATCTGTGAATTTAGACTATCATGGCAGTATTGCGCTATCTCCTTTGTGAATATCACGCCTGGTATTTCTCAGTGTTGCATATCATGTGTTGTGGGGCTGAACACAAAGAAAGTGATGGTAGAGGTTCTTAATGTGTGTGTGTGGTGGAGCCTATGGACTCCCTTCTTAGAACAATGTTTTTAAGTACATGAAAAATACAGGATTATAAAGGAAACCTATTATATAAAAGTAGAGTTATCAAAATATTTTAAAAGAAAGATTTGTGATGTAGTAACACACACAGTTTACTCATGCATTAAATAAGGAGATCTAGCAGCAAGTGGGATAAACATCATAATATCAAAGTGGTGATAAGTATAGACAATTGTTAGAGACGGCTACAAGAAGTAATATGTTATGAAAATATCTGTGATTTGCATTGATAATGAAGTCACATAGTCTGTTAATACTATGGTGATTTATTACCTACATGCATAATTGAAGGAATGATTCATTTCAGTTACAGGTTAATAAAAATTAAAATGTGATTTTCCCCAATCAATTTCAAAGATCTCCTGATTCTATACATGAAACCTTGGAATCTGCAGACCTGTACCATATTACTACTTCTGATTGACCAAAAGATTTAGTTTGAACTTTTTCAAGACCCCACCAAACTCTACTTGAGAGAAAAAGGAAATACTGGGGATTGTGGGGATGGGCACAGCACCTAAGACAATTCCCTCTTAACAAGGGTCCAGGAGATCTCAGGGCAGTCATGTATGGACAGATGTTTCTGCAATGATGCTCATCCAAGGCCATGAATTTGGGAGATCAGAATCCTAGCCAAGTGTTGGAGTACAGATGTTTTTCCAAGTTTGCCACAACCTGATTATTTGATAAAAATGAATTCCCTGGCCTTAAAATCTGGGTAAACTTCTTAAAGATAAGGTACTATGTTTCCTGGTGTCCTTAGGATAGTAGCTGGAAAATGGCAGAAGGTTGACAAATGGTATTTGAATGAATTAATGAACCAATATATCATGCAAAAATAACTGGAGTTTGGTCTGGGTCAAAGGGAGAAGCACCCAACTATAAATTCCTTAGCAGTGACTTTGGCAAAGAGGCTGATTAATGTCAGTGTTATTTTTGCTGTATAAAGCACTCTTTTGGTATTCTACTATCTAGTATCCTTAAAAAACTAATGTAGCTTTCCAAGGGACCTCTTCATCTCTGGAGTTTAGATAGGAGTCAGGTAAGAATAAAAGGCACAATGTATATAAAATGCACAGCACATGAGCAAGTAATTAGAAAGTGATCAATAGTTGCTGTTATTAATAGGATCTAACATAAATTTAATATTTGTTAGTATTAATATGATTATAAATATTAATCAAGGCAGCGAGTCAAATTAATAATGTATTAGAATCACTTGAAGAAGGTTCAAAAATACCTGTTCCCCAAGAGCCCACTGAATCAAAAATGTCTGAGGAGGAGGTGCAAAATCTGCCCTTTGAGAAAGCTGGTGCAAGATTTGGAAAAGGAAGCCAGAAATGAAAAATTAAAGCCCAAAGGGAAACTGAGTCATTATTGTCCACCCATTAAAACATCATTTTTATGCAAACAGCGAGCACATGTCAAATTTTTATTTCACGTATTCATGAGAGAACCAGATGGATGCCAAAGTAAATTCCAAAGATGATATGAAAAACTGGGATTTTATAGGGAGTGAAAAAAAATAAGTAATGCTGAAATAAGAATGCTTAAGTGGTTACGAAACTGGGTAAGGTCATTTAGGATAAAAAAGCTGTAACTTTCTTGATTATACTTTTCTATGAAAGAGAAGAAAAAAAAATCACTGCACTGGATCATTTTTCTGTAAATTCACTTTTAACTTAGTAGAGTTGTAAGATATCTGGTCTCTAGGCTACAGTAAATAGAAACTCAGAAATCTTTGATTCCCCAAGTGAAACCTTCCTGCAAAATCTCCCTGCAAACATCCCTAATTACATCTTTATCACGAATCCATCAACCAGATGTATTTCCTTCATCTAGAAAGTTTGAAGGACTTACCTATACTCAGGTATAAAAATACAGGTCACAGTTGTATTGGATGTGGTATGTTTGTACTGGAAGATGGGATAACAGTTAACCTTTTGACACAACCTCCACCTCATCTCACACTCCAAAAAAGTTACAGTGCAATATTCCATTAGTCTTCCTGTTCCCATGCAATATCCTTTTTGTTTTCCTGCCCTGCTGTGATTTAAGGAATGACTAGAGAAATCTGCCCTTCTCTCACCAAAGTCATCATCACCACCCCTACCTGTTGTTGCTTCCACCTGAGATTCCAACATGTAAGATTTATTCCCTTGGGCCTTTACTCTTTCTTTAATATCTTTTTTTTTTTTCCCCTAATGGAAACTATACTGAAAGAGGATATTTATGGGGAATGAGAGAGTAGCTATGTGAAAGATAGCTCTTGTCTGTCCAGGATTCCAGAAGAGACTTAGATTTTCCTTATTTCCTTACAGTTAGCAATATTTCTTTCCTCTGGAGATTTAGAGAAGGGAGGGTAGAGGAGTGAACCAGCTGGAGCTCTCCAGATGTTGTGAATCTAAAGCTTTAATCATATAGCAGGAAAAAAAAAGCTCAGGATATGGGTGCTCCACACAGATGCCTTTGATGTACATCAGAGCAAACATACAGGGTCTCATGTTCCCCATTGCACCTTGTCAGTGTTTCCTCTTGCATGTGTGGAAGAAGAAGGTGATGGGGCCATGGCAGAAACATGCAGGAAGACGGGTATGTGTCTACATTGTCTGGGCACACTGTCTTTTCTGCCCATCTGCTATGGTTTAAATGTGTCTCCCAAAGTCCACGTGTTTGAAACTTAATCCTCAATGCAACAATGTTGGGAGGTGGAGCCTAATCCAAAGTGTTTAGGTCTAGAGGGCTCCACCTCATGAATGCATTAGTGCTGGTTATAAAAGGGCTTCAGGCTGCAAATTTAATCTCTGGTTCTTTCCATCTATCTTGTCCTTCCACCTTCTGCTCCGGGATGACCCGTCAGGAAGGCCTTTGCCAGGTACCAGCACCTTGATATTGGACTTCCCGGCCTCCAGAACTGTGACATTTCTTTTCTCTGTAAATTACTCAGTCTGTGGTGTTGTTTTAGTAGTACGATACTAACTAAATCGCCACCATTTCCTCACGACATCTCTTCGCGATGTTCAACATATTCCACCCTGTCACAGGTTATTGGTTCAGGGGAGCCCCATGACCCAAGTTGGCCAATCAGAACATTTTCCTGGGAATTTTAGACTTGAGTTCTAGACAGCAAAGGCACTCTCTCCTGGAGGTAGATAAATCTGCAAGCCATAAGGCTTGGGCAATGCCAATAGTCATGTTTCTGCTATGTGAACAACCACATAGGGATCAAGAAAAGCCAAGAAATGTAAAGGAAAGAGCAGTCTGGGAATTGGAGAGAAAGCATTTGACTGTGTATGTGATCCAGTTCCAGCTGAGATTCATCCACTCCTGGGATCTATGGTAGCCTAGCAAGATCACACAAGTGCCACTAATTGTTCCACTATTAATCAAGACAAAATCAACAATAAATGCCTCTAGTACAGGAAGCATGTCAGGACTCATTGCGTCATTACTCAGGTGTTACTCTGTATTAAAATCTACTAAAAAAGCTTTGGAGAGTCTGTTAAGTAGCAAGAAGGCAGCATTCTCAGTTTCTCCTATGGCCCAGAAGGGAAGAGAGAATGAAGCAAACAAACCAATTTAATGAGTGAGAGTCCAGGTTGGTAATGTGCCCGTTACATACCTCAATGAAGCTACCTTGCTCCCTGAAGAGGCAAACTGGAGGAATTTGTGCAGTAAGAAGATGAACCATAAGTGCAGAATCAAATTAATATTGCCCTTTAGCTGGGGAAAGGTGACTCCAGGCTTGCAAGCTCACCTATGGTGTCTAGTTCTTGTTTTGAGGCACCTTAATCACAGCTGCTGCTTGCTAAAAAAACAAACCTCTGTGTTACAATCTGATTCCAGAATTTATCATCTGTATAAATATGGATGGGCTCATTTCTCCCATCACTGTAATCTTATCTGTGAGAGTACTGCTCGTATATTCTATGGGGACTTTGCTAGAAGTCTAAGCACCCTCACATAATACCCTGAATTTGCAGAATTCAACTTTGAGAAAATAGTCTAAAAGCAAGGTGGAGAAATGGTCGCTCCCGTCTTTGGATGCAAAAGGAGGCATCGTCTCTCCTCTCTCTGCAAATTTTTCACGTTCATCTTTTGTTAACACTTATTGAGTGCATACTGTTTATTTAGCAGGTGTTATTCTAAGCAATGTTAATGTATCAACCAATTTATTTCTCACAATATCCTATGAAATAGATAATTGGATTATATCTATGTTACAGAGAAGAGCATAGGGAGATGCACCTATTAAGTGATGGAGGTGGGATTTGAACTCAGGTGGTGCCACTCAGAAGCCAGGACTTTTAATCATTGTGCTATGTTAATTAA